AGCGAAGACAAAGGGACTCTGGAATAATGGACAAAATAGGCGCGTTTATGTAGCGCCCGTCCTCCTCTCCAGACTCCAATTAGAAACTCTTAGAAGCAGGGTTCGCTGTATATCGCCGAGGCACGTACCCGCGACGCGACGCCTCGCACACACATGTGTATATGCATGTACAGTTTCCTCTCGCTCGTACATGCGTATATTATTCGCTCGCGAATCGCGCATGTTAGGTTCAGGGAGCAGTAGTGTGGCGCACATGTGCGGAGCGGCAATTACCGGCATGCGTCAAACGCCACGCACCTGCGCTCGCACCCTGGACCGAGGGGATGACGCTGAGCACTGTTACGATTGCACATCGGTTCTCCTATTCTCGATTGGATTTCACAAATCGTCTCTCTTTCTCTATTTTATTTATCACTTCTCTTTTTTTTCGCTTCTCGAATTGTCAAAAAATTCTCGATGACAGGGAAGATATGACATATTTTTATTACATGTACTCTTAATCTATCAAGATAATTATTAGGAATATTTAAAGTTTCGAATTTTATCAAGAATTAAAAATAGAATTGTAAAAATATTCTCGATGACAGGGGAGAGATGAAATATTTTTATTGCATACACTCTTCTAGCGAGATAATTAATGGGAATATTTATAGTTTCGAATTTCGTCAAGAATCGCACCCTGGAGGGGATAATGCTGAGCACTGTTACGATTGCACATCGGTTCTCCTATTCTCGATTGGATTTCACAAATCGTCTCTCTTTCTCTATTTATTTATCACTTCTCTTTTTTTTCGCTTCTCGAATTGTCAAAAAATTCTCGATGACAGGGAAGATATGACATATTTTTATTACATGTACTCTTAATCTATCAAGATGATTATTGGGAATATTTAAAGTTTCGAAGAATTAAAAATAGAATTGTAAAAATATTCTCGATGACAGGAGAGATGAAATATTTTTATTACATACACTCTTCTAGCGAGATAATTAATGGGAATATTTATAGTTTCGAATTTCGTCAAGAATTAACAATGGAATTGTAACAAAATTCTCGATGACAAGAGAAAAATATAATGAAATATTTATTACATATATATTCTTCTATCAAGATAATTAATGTGTGAAAATATTTTAATTTTTTTTTTAATTGTATCAAGAATTAAAAATGAATTGTAAAAAAATTCTTAATGACAAGGGTGAAACAAGATGAAATATTTATTATATGAAAATATATTAAAAATTTTGGATTGCATCAAGAATTTAAAAAAATTCCGTAAACACATGTGTAAAATAATTTCCTCTTTTTGATAAAAAGATTGAAAAAATATCGAGAAAAAAACGGTTGAAAAAAAGACTTTTTGCGATATAATCCTTTCTCGTTTTCTAAAAAAAAAAAACGTGTCGCAGTGATACGTGTGATCGGTAATCCCGTAACAAACAGCAATATATTCATTTAGCAAGGGTGCGGCCGATCAAAAATGTTTTACGGGTAACGAGGTCGAGTCGTGCCATTATCAAACGAATTTCGGATTAAATTCGTATTGAAAAAAAAATGAAGAAGAGATAGAGAGAGAGAGAGATCGCGCGAGGGTGGAAAGGAAAACGACGACGGTCCCTACGGAACCATGGCTTTGTTCCCAGCTATTACTCGCCCCCCTGTAACCCTTAGGATATTATTATATCTCCCCGTCTGCCATCATCCTCCACCCTCTCGCGATGTTCGAGGCGGTGGATTCGTGCCTATCGTATTTATTTTATTAAACCATTTTCCGAGCTTCTCTGCTCCCGCGAAAGTTCCGCGCTCGAAACGTATAAGATAATCATTTTTCAGATCCATTATACAAAATGTACCGATGCTATCTTTCTCTTAAAAATGTCTTTCTTTCTTTTAACTTTGATACGCATAATTCGTAATCTTTTCAAAAATTTTGCGACAATTTTTTTCAACAATTTTTCTCGAGAACTATATATGAGATTATTCAAAAAAAGTTAACGCTACACTTTTTATTCGGTTTTTCGCTATTTAATAGATAATTTTGATTACAGACGACGCTCTTTTATCCGGGGGCTACGTGTTACACGAAGATTTGTCCGCGTGAAAACACGGTTATTACATATATACGTTGTCGACATACGTCGGGACAAAAGTCGGCGTTAGCGGCAGAGAACTGCTGGGTATAATAAAGTCTATTTCAGCCGGTATTATGTCAAGTTAGCCTCGTTAGCGGAACTCGAGCTTTTTAAAAAACACTCGGCCGCCGTGGTTGCTGTCGGCTCGTTGAACATGCACGGCGGAAAGTGCCCCCGGTGCCCCCCTTCCCCTCAATCCTCCCTCACTCTCTTTCTCTCACACCCTCGTGCTTTCCTCTGCCTCAGAATGTCACCCCTTCGCGCATGCAATTATCCTTGCACATTTGCGGACATTGCGAAGTGGCCTAGGTAGGTAGTAGTATATATATATATATATATATATATATATATATATATATATAGTACGACCGACCGTCTCATTTTTCTCCTCTCCTTCTGCGCATCTTGTCGTTTCTCGTCGTGACTTTTGCACGATTTAACCCTCTCCGCGTTCACGGTATAGTCATATTCAATTGAGACGTCGAGAATATCGAATCAACAAATTATGCAAATTTTCGCCAAGTTGGCTTTTGAGAAATTTAACTTCTCTGTGAATGTACATATCGCGGTATATCTATTAACATTTAGTTCATAACCGAAATTATATTGTAGAACAGATGTGAAACATTTTACAAAAGCGTGGATTAAATGAAAAAAAAATATGTTACTATATTATCAGATGTCAAATGAATAAGAAATATTTCCGCGACATTTTTATTATATTTAAATTTTAATTTTATATTAAAATATTTTTTATATAAAAAGAGAAAATCTTATTCGAAGAAACATTAAATTAATCTGTTATCGAAGTTTGTAATAGTTTCAATCTACTCTAACGTTACCTCTCTATTCCTAAAAATTATTTTTTAAATATCGTAATTTCCAGGAGGGTATGGTTCCAAACTAAATTTAAATGTTATATTAAATACTTGCTTTACAATTTATTTCGTAAAAAAATTAACCCATTCGAAGAAACTCACATCAAATTCATGCCTTCTGTAATCAAAGTTTGACAGCTTCAATCTACTCTAACGTTACCTCTCTATTCCTAAAAATTATTTTTTAAATATTGTAATTTCCAGGAGGGTATGGTTCCAAACTAAATTTAAATGTTATATTAAATACTTGCTTTACAATTTATTTCGTAAAAAAAATTAATCCATTCGAAGAAACTCACATCAAATTCATACCTTCTGTAATCGAAGTTTGACAGCTTACCTACTCTAACGTTACCTCTCTATTCCTAAAAATTATTTTTTAAATATCGTAATTTCCAGGAGGATATGGTTCCAAACTAAATTTAAATGTTATATTAAATACTTGCTTTACAATTTATTTCGTAGAAAAATTAATCTATTCGAAGAAACTCACATCAAATTCATGCCTTCTGTAATCGAAGTTTGACAGCTTCAATCTACTCTAACGTTACCTTCTATTCCTAAAAATTATTTTTTAAATATCATAATTTCCAGGAGGGTATGGTTCCAAACTAAATTTAAATGTTATATTAAATACTTGCTTTACAATTTATTTCGTAAAAAAAATTAATCCATTCGAAGAAACTCACATCAAATTCATGCCTTCTGTAATCGAAGTTTGACAGCTTCAACCTACTCTAACGTTACCTCTCTATTCCTAAAAATTATTTTTTAAATATCGTAATTTCCAGGAGGATATGGTTCCAAACTAAATTTAAATGTTATATTAAATACTTGCTTTACAATTTATTTCGTAAAAAAAATTAATCCATTCGAAGAAACTCACATCAAATTCATGCCTTCTGTAATCGAAGTTTGACAGCTTCAATCTACTCTAACGTTACCTCTCTATTCCTAAAAATTATTTTTTAAATATCGTAATTTCCAGGAGGGTATGGTTCCAAACTAAATTTAAATGTTATATTAAATACTTGCTTTACAATTTATTTCGTAAAAAAAATTAATCCATTCAAAGAAACTCACATCAAATTCATACCTTCTGTAATCGAAGTTTGACAGCTTACCTACTCTAACGTTACCTCTCTATTCCAAAAAAAATAAATTTTTCTCAAACACCGCAATTTCCAGGTATGGTTCCAAAATCGACGAGCGAAATGGCGTAAAAGCGAGCGGCTGAAGGAGGAGCAACGCAAACGCGAGGGTGGAGGCGGCAGCGGCGGCGGTGGCGGTAACGTGGAATCCTCCGCTCTGAGCGCGCCGACGTCCTCGTCGGCCGGTCCGAGCCCCACGGGGAACGATCCGGAGGGCACCACAACGAGCAGCAGCGCGGCCGACATGGAGGACGGCATCGCGGAAGGCATCGGCGGCGGCGGCGGCGGCGGCGGCAGCGGCGGCGGTGGCGGCGGCGGCGGCTCCAGGAGCCCCAGCACGACTTCCGCCTCGGTCAGCCCCCGACCCCAGCCGAGTCAGCCGTCCCTAGGTGGCGTCTCGACGCCACCGCCGACCCCCATAAGGGCGCCACCGCCGCCACCGAGCACCGTAGGGGGTCTCGGACCGCCTGCCGAGAGGTGAGCTCTTAAGCTTCGTTTGTATTTACGTCTTTAGGAAATATCTTCCTCCTTCTTTTACCTTTCTCCCTCCTGCCCCTCTTTTATATAAACTCCCGGACGAGCTTTCCCAGCGAGCAAACGGGTGAAAGCACCGCTGAACATGCCGACCGGATGCTCGATACGCGCCATTAAACCATACTCCTCGTGACGGCGCGTCGTCCACCGGTAAAGTCCGCGGCTCTTAAAAACCTCCCTTCTTTTCCTTTTTCCTCGTCGTCGTCGTCATCATCACCACTCGTATAATCGTGATAATCGTCGCCTTAAACTGCAACTTCCAGAGGTTCTATGGTATAAAGCAGAGAGAAAGAGAGGAGGAGCTTTTCCCTTCGAAGCTTTGTCTCGTGAAACTGGATGATGGCGTCTCGCATTTACGACTCGCGTGTCGAGACGATGAGGGAGCTAAAGAGTTTGCGACGGGTAAAAAGGTTAAAGAGCTGGCGAGACGATTTCTAAGCGTGGGCATGCTCGATGTCGCATTTCCGGGAGCAAGTGGATTAAAGTTTCCAAGTTATCGACAGTTACAGGAAAATTGGTGTCATGCTAGTATGATAGCGCGCGTCTTGTCAAGACTAAACGTCACGTTGATCCTCCGTTCATAGACGCAATTAATAGACTAATTTTCTTACTAGTGATATAAACTAGATATTTTTTATTAATTTTGTTTGCTTATATTTCCTATTAACAGCAGACTCAATGAAAAAAATTCCTTGACTTGTTCAAATTTCCCAAGACTAGAAATTAATTTTTTCCCCTGACTTTTAGTATTATTTTTTAATAAACAAACATGTCACTATAAACTATTTAAATAATCATCTTTTTTATTTATATTATATCAAATTTTTTTATACATCGAAATAGAATAACACGACGATGAATTAACGATATAAATTAACAAACACGCTGTAGATAAATCGGTTTTTAACAAGACAGAAAATTAGCGTGCTTGGAGCCGAGGAAAAGTTTATATTTATTTAATAAAAAATTTCAAATTGTTGAGACAAATGTAGAATAATGTGAAAGAATCCAGATAAATAGTAAAAAATTTTCTGACTTTTCTCTGACAATTCTAGATTTATAAAATTCCCTGACAATGCCCGGTTTTCCAGATTTCCCTGACCGCTAGACACCCTGTATTAAGAAATAAATATTGCAGATATTAAGAATATAATTTTCTTACTCGTGATGTGAAACAGACATTTTTTATTAATTTTTTTGCTTATATTTCCCATTAAAAAATAAATATTGCAAATATTCGTTTGTTTAATACGCGCAATCTACTTGTAATATCATCAATGTTGGAGAAATTTATGTATTACGTGCAGATCGCAAAAAAGTTGGTGCCGCATGAAATATTTCTACGAGAGTCGCGACATCGGATAAAAGAAGAGGGAAAGAGACGGAGGGTGTTTGAGGAATCGAAAAAGGGGACGATCTACCCCTCTCTCTCTCTCTCTCTCTCTCGCGCGCGAAGACGGAGCATTCGTTTATAATCCTCGAGACGGTGGGCTCTTTTCTCCGCGGATCGGGGCCAGGTCGGCTAACAAAAAATGCCGAAAAACATTGTGGGGAAACGCGTAATGCGAGCGGGGGATGACGAAGAGGAGGGAGAAGGTAAAGAAGAAACGGCAGGAGGAAGATATCCCGTCGCCGTCCCCGCAGCTGTAATTTATTTAAAACCGCTCGCCGTAAATATATCCCCATCATTTATTCAGAGGCACGGCGAAGCTCCTGACGAGGGGTGGTGGAGGAGGGAAGGAAGGGAGGGGGAGAGGGTAAGCTCCGCGTTCCTTCTTTCCTTAGCTTTACCTTAAGAACCGGTGCGCTCTACAGGAGCGGATTCGCGTCGCAAGGATGTTATCTTCGTCTAGATCGCCCTTCTTTGTCTCGCCATGCTTTCGAAAAGCTGAGAGCGTAAGAATTGATTACGCGCGACTTGTTTTGTTACAGCGAAAAAAATCATGTAAATGCTTTGTTGTTTCCTGACAAAACGCGATCTTTTTGAAAAAAAAAAAAGAATTAGACACAGAAGTGTATAAGAGCGCCAATTGATGACACGCGACTCTTATTTTGTTACAGCGAAAATAGTATATTTTGTATCAAGTGCGGAAAGTTGACAATTGGTCACGAGTGCGGGGGATGGTAAGGCAAGTCCATCCTCCGCACTCGTGACCAATTGTCAATCCGCACTTGATACACACGATATTTTGTATTACAAGTGCAGGCAAAGTGGCTTTGTGCGCGTTTTCTGTGCGCGAATGTATTGCCCACGGCTTCAGCCGTGGACAATGACTTTGAACGCGGCTCAGCCGTAGGCAATGGCTTTGAATGCGGCTTATTCACTCACCGCGTCGCCGCTAGATGGTGGCGTGGGAAATCGGCCGCTTTCCGCACAGAAAACACGCACACAAAGTGCCACTTTGCCTGCACGTGTAATACAAAATAATATAAAAGTTTTGTCGTTTCCTGACAAAACGCGTTCTTTAAAAAAAAAAAAGGGAAGAATTAGGTACAGAAGTGTATAAGAGCGCAAATTGTTATTATCGATTGGCATTTCTGCGTTTGTTGTAAAAATTATTCATGTTCGTAATATTGCGTAAACGGTTTGCGCGATAATACATCCATTTCCAAATCGTTTCCTGTCACTTTTATTACTCGCTTTAACTCCACGTTATATCCGCTATATCCGGCGGGGGCTGAAAGCGTTTAATGTTATTGAATTTTAAATAAAGATTTTAATGGAGTCTTATTACGCGGGAAACGCTATCTCGTCTAGGTAATATCGTAGTTATCGGCTATATTACTTATCAAGAAGCGATTACAAGATAAAAAAAAGAAGCTAAATAGAAGAATAAAATATGTGAGCGGGGATGAATGTTAAATAGAACAACTAAAGTGATCATAGTATCATCATCAAACGCAACCTGTAAATAAAATAACGAGCTCTGATGCAAATTTGCAGCGATAAAAAAACAGACGAAAAAAAATATGAGATAATAAAAACAGCAGAAAATATTTCAAAATTGAGTTGCACGAATTTTTTTCCCCGAAAAAATATAAAAATTTCAATTTGCAATAGGGGAGAATTTTCTCATACATATTATATATATATATACATATAAATCATACAATATATTAGTAAATATGCGCACGTAAAAAAAATGTTGTAGAGAGAAACGAATAAAATCAAATTTCACGAATAAAAATAATTAAATCAAAGAATTAATCGGCTACAGAAATCTCATCTTGTCTCTTCTTTTCATTTTTTTTTTTTTAAGAAAAAAATTCCTATAGCATTTTTTCTTCCCTTTCTCTCTCCTAAACACACGCGAGGATTATTAATCTTACATCGCTTCTGCGAGAGATAATCTGCGTTTAAACCGTCAGTGCTTAGATGATTTTAAAATTAGCTAGATAAAGATGAGATAAAAATATGACTGTTTATATAAACCCAGTTATAAATAAATTATAAAAAAAAATAAAAAAATAGATGCATTCATATATTTTTATTTATAAATTTTTATCGCTTACTGCTTAAGCTCTCTATTTAAGTATTTTTATGTGCTACGATTCTAAATCAAAATTATTTGAAAATTATTGCAGATAAAAATTTAGTAAAGATAATACTATGTTTCTAAGATGCAGATAATACAACATATCTATTTTTATTTTATATTATATCTACCTAAAGATAAGATGACGCCAAAGTTTCATCCAGATGATCGTCTACATAATTTTATTTAGATAACAGCAAACACCTGCCGTCATCCCCCTTTTACCGTAACTCGACACCGTAATTCAGTGCCGAGCAACGCATTGATGAGCTAACGTATGTACGCCAAAAGTCGCGCTTCGTCCAAGTAACGCGGAAGCGGTTCCGATGCGGATTTATACGCGCGCGCGTGTATACACACACACACACACATATGTTTACACGTGCCGCGGATCCACGTGCGTGCACATGCACATACATTTGCGCGCGTGCGTGTACTCGCGGAAGGCAAACGAGCACGTAAGCAAGAGCTGCACGGTAGACTACGCGGCTAATTGCCGCTAATTATCGCGCGGTTTTCCGTCTCCTCGAGCCCCAGCTTTGCCACCCCTTCCACCGGGGCAACCACCTGAAATCTGGCCTGCCGACGAGCTGCAACGTCTTTCCTAACCCCCTTCAACCCCCTTCGTTGGCTCTGCCTTTACCCACTAACAACCTAAACGCCGTGGGCTGTCTACCCTAACTCCCCACTCGGGTTCTCTCCCTTTCCCTCTCCTACCCCGATCTCCGACTCCGATTCGAGCTCGTTACATTAATTAAACAATATTTGTGATTAATATTTGAGATAATCATCAGCGCCTCAAAGCAGCCTCCTCTCCTCTCGGAGGATGCGGAATATCGCGCGTGCTAATCGGATTAGCGCTTGCAGACGGGCTCCTCTCTCTCTCTCTCTCTCTCTCTTCCTTCCTCAATTTCTGTTGCGTTCTCTCTCAATCTCTATCCGCGTCGGTCTCTCGCTTTCTCTACGCCGGTAGTTGGAATCGCGCGAAATTGCGACGTCCTTTTGACGATAATCGCGCCGGTGCCTCAAATAGCGTTAATTCGCGGACGAGTTAAAGATCGTTTCCAGCGTGATGATTGAAATCTTTGTATATGGGGAACTAGGCATTTTATTTTATTTATTCAATTTAGAGAATAATTAAAGGAAGAAGTTAGAGACGATAAATAAATTATTGCATTTATTTTTAGAAATAGAATCTTGTAGAGACGAAATATTTTTGCTCCTCCTGTCGAAAATTTAAACCCTTAAGCTCCATATCGGAATTTCATATATAATGTAGTATTTTTTTGATGTAAAAAAATTTATATTTATATTTGCATTCAATAATAAAACAATGCAGGGATAATTGTTTCTAGCAGATGCAATTTCTAGAATCGTTGGACGATATCGAAATCAACTTATAAACACAGCATGAATTTTATAAAGAAGATATATAATTATGGGTAGTTGTATTTTATTATCTATCTTAATAATTTTCGATATATTCCTGCGAGAAAAGCTGCTTTTTATATTTTTCAGTTAAAGAGATTAAAAAAAAGTCTCGAGTATTCCCGACAAAATAAAAGCGAATTTAATAAGCCTCAATATATCTCTCAAAGCAGCGACGTATAACTTTTAATTCAACAACGAGATTTGCATTTTTAATTCAATTTTTCTTTCTTTCTCATTTGTATTAACCTCCCTTTTCCCCTAAAATTCTCAGCACCACGGGAATAAGCGCTGGCTTCAGGCCAGTAGAGCCGCCGACGTCCATCTTCTTCTCGCCCCATCTGGCCGCCCAATTCTCGCCGCCGCTCTTCGGCAACAAGGTCGTCAGCAGCGCGTCGACATCGCTGACCTCGACGACGCCGTCTCTGTGGACCACCAGCGACCAGCATCGGCCGAGCAGCCTCCAGGAGATGCTGTCCTGGTCGCCGACCGGCTGGCCCGGTTCCATCTGCGGCTGCTGCAAGCCGGGCACCGCCGGCACCGGCACCGATCTCCATCGGAGCAACAGCCTGGCCGAGCTGCGAAGGAAAGCTCAGGAGCACTCGACCGCCTCGGCCCTTCTCGGCGGCCTCGCCGGCTTTCCAGGCGGTCTGCCTCTGCCTCTGCCTCTACCACTGCTGCCGCCCTTGCTGGGTCTTTCCAGGCGACCAGAGCACCATCATCATCATCATTTGCCCGGTGTGGTGCACCAAATACAGCCGACCACCAAGGAGGATCCATAGGATCGTCCTCTCGACGGATGCCGAAATCATCTCGTAAACGTGGCGTGAATCCCGTCAAGGGGATGTAAATCATCGGGTGATTGCAAAAAGTCGGGAGCGGTGTAATGATCTCGGTGAGTTCGAATTTCGATGCTGTAGAGATCATTTATCTCTGTGTTCTCGTATAACGGAAATATAGAGAATTCTTCTCTTCTTCAAATAGATGTTATTAATTAATATGGAAATCATATTTTTTTTTTTTTTTATTATTTTTGGATTGTAGAATTTATCCGATCAAATCGTAGATTTTATTCGATTTAATGATTCAAGTTTCACGTCTAGAGCATCGAAAATTGTACTTTTCGAGATTAGACTGCTCCTCAATCTTTACAAGTGCTTTCCTCATTATGATTGCATTTGAGTTTTATTGTATTTTATTATTTTTTTTTTTTTTAACTAAGAAACTTTTTCGGCATTATGGTGAACGAATTTACGAGTCTCAATTCCGGCAGGCGACTATGATTTATTTAACGAACCATAATGCCGTGAATTGAATTTTGCAAACTATATTCATATTACCTTCGATTGTAACTTGTTAAAATAAATTACGATGCGCTTATTAAGAACTTGCGCACTCTTGATAGAAAATTTTGTTTTAATTCATATAACGCGCTGATTTTTTAGAAGAATGAGAGATTTTCATTCGAAGCAAATTCGACAATCAACTGCATTTTCATTTATATAAGAAAGAGTCGACTTTATAAAGTTTTGTCAAGTTATTTTTCAGCCCAACTATTTTCTTCTTACAAAAGTTACTAATACTTAAATTTTTTAAGTAGAACACGGGATATTTTTTTATCATTCTCGAAAATTTTTTCTCGACTTTCTATCTTAATACAAATGAGAAAGAAATAGGATTACATTTTAATACTCGTTAAATATGCAATAAACTGTTGAATAACGCAGCACTATCAATTTACAAATTACTTTGTTATAATCGCAGACGAGATGTAAATAGGTGACGTTCATCAAACAATAATCTTTAGTAGTATTCACAGACATAAACGTTCTTCTCACGTATAATAATCAACAATAATGTTCAAATCTTCATTCTATGCTACTGAGTGCTACTTTATTTATTGCCTTAACTTGCGATGCAAACATATTTATATCACCACTACTACTTCCAATGAATACCGTTACGCAAAATATTGAGTTCCAGACACAACGAGTTTGGCAAATCTGTTATTTACAAGTGAAGACAATTTCTGCAAAAAAAAATCTACGAGAAGAGGAGACTAGATTTCGATCTGACATGTTAAATTTAAAACGTCGCGATTTGTATATAATGGAAATAACAGCGGCGAGAAAAAAATGGGAGCGAAAAAAAAAACGACACGATAAGATCGCGATTCACATTATACAGAACAATGATACAACGAAATACTTTTGCATACTTAATACAAAATGTATTTGCTCTCAAAATATCGTTACACATATTCATATGCAGGGTGTCCAGCAGACTCAATGAAAAAAATTCCCTGACTTTTTAGTATTATTTTTTCCAAATACATATATCATTTGTATATATTTATATGATAAATCAATTAAATGTTAAATCATGAAATTCTTGGGATTTTAACTACAGAAAATTAGCGTGTTGGGAGTCGAGGAAAGCTTATATTTATTTAATAAAAAATGTCAAATTATTGAGACAAATGTAGAATAATGTGAAAAAATCCAGATAAATAGTAAAATTTCTTGACTTGTTCAGATTTTCCAAGATCAGAAATTAATTTTTTCCCTGACGTTTTAGTATTATTTTTTCCAAATATATTATTTGCATATATCTGTATGATAAATCAATTAAATGTTAAATCATGAAATTCTTGGGATATTTTTGTCAACAATGAAAAAGTTCGGAAGTTAAAACAAAAATTTAAATCAATTATACAATTTGCATTATGTACGATACTCGAAACAAACATGTCACTATGAACTATTTAAATAATCACTTTTTTATTTATATTATATCAAATTTTTTAGTTTGGTCTCTATTAAACACATTGAAATAAAATAATACGACGGTGAAAATATAAATTAACAAACACGCTGTAGATGAATCGATTTTTAATCACAGAAAATTAGCGTGTTGGGAGTCAAGGAAATTATATTTATTTAATAAACAATGTCAATTATTGAGACAAATGTAGCATAATGTGAAAAATCCAGATAAATAAATTTTTTATATTATATCAAATTTTTTAGTTTGGTCTCTATTAAACACACTGAAATAAAATAATACGACGGTGAAAATATAAATTAACAAACACGCTGTAGATGAATCGATTTTTAATCACAGAAAATTAGCGTGTTGGGAGTCAAGGAAATTTTATATTTATTTAATAAAAAATGTCAAATTATGAGACAAATGTAGAATAATGTGAAAAAATCCAGATAAATAGTAAAACTTCCTGACTTTTTTCACTGACAATTCCAGATTTATAAAATTCCTTGATAATGCTCGGTTTTCCAGATTTCTCCGACCGCTGGACACCCAATAATATATGTAAATAGGTACGTTAGAAAAATATTTCGCCGTGTTGTATCGTATATAATGTGACGCGATCTTGAAATAATGTCGAAATTTCTATACGAAGATGTATAGCAAGGTGTTTGCGAGAAAGAATGGTTTCGTTTCCTTCCACGCGAGTATAAGAAGACGCGACGGACCAACACGTGCCTGATGCGCTATATATTCAATCGCTCGATATGCTCGACCAGTCGATTCGTTCAAAGCTAACGCGGATAGGCTCGAGAGAGTGTGTGTGTGTGCATTCATTATAACATTCCTATAGAAGAGAAGCGGGGTTTGAAACCGGTATAATCTCGGATTCAGATTTCGAGATCTTGTTAAATCGAAAAGAGTAACAAGATCGCCGCGGAATGTTTCTGTCAATAAAAATTGATTTCATTACGATTATATCGATTTTAATTCCCGACTGTACAAGTAAGACGCGAAGAAGAAACTCGTCTCGAGTCGGCTACTACTCTTATATGCCTTAAAAACAAAAAAGAAGGGAAAAAGAAAAAGTTTAGCGAGAGACACAAATCGCTTTTAGATTTGTGTCGGGTAACGATTACCAAATAAGATCGGTCATTTTTTCTTAATGTTCCTAGATTAAGAAGAAGCGATCGCGCGGAAGAAGAAAGGATGAGTATACGGTACAGATTTCATTTGATATTTACGCGTGAATTCAACGAGAAAGAGATATAATTGCGTTTATGCCGTAATTCCACTGGATTTTCGAGAGACGTAGAAGCGAGAAGCGGACGTAGTTGTTTGTAGAGACCTGTATATTACCTCCCGATAAATAGTCATTGCTAATCAAAGATAGTCTAAAATAAAAGGTATATTGTAAGGTAGCGATTACACTATGTAGTCAGAACTGTGGTAGCGATATATCGAATAAACTTGTTCTCTCATGAATCCGGTGTTTACAAATTCATTTCCTCCAACAATCACGTAGATTATATCATCCCCGCGAAACTCGGAGAATAAGAGAGTACAGTATACTACACTTGAGACTCAGTTATCCCAGATCCACATCTCTCGCTCCGAGATTCGTCCATCCGATTTTTCGTCCATATCCCTAAAAAAAATTCCGATTCCGGATAACTCGCTTTCCCGCGCTAACACGCTACCTAGGGGATTACACACATCCGCGATATCGTTCCGCGATTTCATCCCGATGCAATAAGTTCTCCATCTTCGTGTCCGCCAATGGCATCGCTCGTTTGACCCCCCACCCTCTCGCGTCAGACGTAGAATAATTGTACCATAACTGAGAATAACCGAGAGATCGAGCTGCCGAGTAGAACACACCGGGGGTAAAAAAAAAAAAAAAACACGAGAGTTAGAAGAAATAATGCAACAGCGCGAAAAGGAAAAAGAAAGACGGGAAGAGAGATAGCCCCCGGCAGTGGAAGGGGGGTGAAAGGGAGGAAGTGACGGGGGCGGAGAGGGTGTTGGCAATCAATGCTCCTCATAAGAAAAGCTCGCCCTCTCTTATGGGATCAACCCTCCTCGGGGATACGGCGAGTCTTCCTTCGCGGGGTAAAAAAGAAGAGGAGGGAAAGAGAGGGTAGAAAGAAACCGGGAGGGGAGGATGGCGCGGGAGGGCGAGAAGGAGAAGCAGAGCGACGGGGGTTGTTCCCGGCTCGACCAACCAGCGGCAAGACGCCATTGATCGGCACGTGGCTCCGGGTTGGTGCAACGGATTCCATCGGGGGTGGAAGGGAGAAACGCGGCTCTTGTGACTCTCTCGGAGGTGAAATAGTGGTGGTGGCGATGGCGAAGAAGACGGAGGTGGTGGCTGACAGAGAGAACGGGGTGGAAGAGGGGCGAACGCGCGCGTTCTGCACACTCCGTTACACTTACTGGTAAACCGTATTAATCAACGACATCATGGTTTATCCCCCCATTCCTCTCCACCTTCCTTAACCTCCTCTCCCACTTTCACCTTCTCCTCCCGGTTCTTCCACCCTCTCTTCTTATCCTGCCTTCTCGCCGCCACCACCATCGCGATCTATAGCCACGCGCACCCCTTACGCAAACCCTTACAGCACCCGAGAGAAAGACGGAGAAGACGACGGGTTGAGAAGAGGGAGAGCGCGAGAAGGGGTGAATCAAGGCGCCGGGCCACTTTGGAAGAGGCGATCGACGCTTAACGATGTCTCTCGATACCCATTACGTGGCTAGCCGGGATTCAACGAGCCGGTACCCTAGTAGTCATTGTATGTACGTAGGACGTACACGTTGAGAAGAAGCGGAGAGACTCCCGGAGCAAGAAAAATCCGATTGATCCCGTTGCGTATACCCTATCCCTCGATAACATTCCTTCCTCGTAACTTGCCGGAACCGGCGTGGGCGGATTTTGCGGATACTCTTCTTCCTCTAGCTCGCCCGCTTCCGCGCCATTGGTTAGCGGGTCCTTTACAATTCAGGCAACGCGCGCGGAGTATCCTTTTTACGGCAAACGCGATCTCCGCGGCGATATACGAATAAAATAACCGCGATAGCTGCTGGCGTTTCCTGCGGAAGCGAAGTCCCGCAAAGATTCGACGGCGAAGTGGCGTTCCTCGACGAAGTGGCGAGGAAAATTCAATTCCTTTTTCTTTATTCTTTTCAGAAAGTGGATTAGCTAAGCGAAGATGCATGTTTGAGAAATGTTTGACGGAATTAAAAATTCCGCATTTACGCACTTCTTTTTACAGAGCCCATTTCTTGGACGATCCTGTTAAGCGTATGTGGAAATACTTAGCAGATTGGTCGAAAGGAAAATTCAATATCCTCTTTGTGCAATTTAAATTTTGTTTGCTTGCCCAAACAACGGATTCTCAGTTACAATTTATATATTAAATAATAGTATATTGTGTATCGAGTGCGGAAAGTTGACAATTGGTCACGAGTGAACAATTGTCAATCCGCACTTGATACACACGATATTTTGTATTACAAGTGCAGGCAAAGTGGCTTTGTCCGCTAGATGGCGGCGTGGGAAATCGGCCGTTTTCCGCACAGAAAACACGCACGCAAAGTGCCACTTTGCCTGCACGTGTAATACAAAATATATATATATCAGAAAGAAATATTTTTATCGGCTCTCAATATTAGGAATATAAATATGATGTTTTTTTTTTAAATCAGCCAACAGAGCCAAAGCATGAAAAATTAATTATTCGGAACTGTATCTCTTGGTTTGAGATTACTAAGCTCCATATATAAATTAATCTCATATATACTATAATAATGTTAAACTCTGCCGAGATTGTCAATTAAAAATAACATTATGTTACGTAATCTTAAGAAACTTGACGTTTATATATAAATTATTCAATCTTCCATATTAAATAATTCTTCAATCTCATTATAATACATAATAAATTACAGGATTAATTCTTTTCTCTCATTCTCCGAAGAATCGGTATCTTCGATAAAACGCGCGGGATTGAAATCAATCTCAATCCAGTCGCGAAAGGAAATGGAGGGGTGGGGTCGTTTTAATCGGGCTCGAGTAACTGATTTTCGAATATCACGAGATTCGCGCTTCACGGAGAGAGAAGATGGTTGAGGCTGCCTGACGCCAGTAGACAGTGATTAATACCGCGACGTCGTCTGGCGTCTCTCTTCCCCACCCCTGCTTCCACCCCTTACCCCCTCAAATGCATGCGTAGGGTCGTGCGCGAGAGGGCGTGCTCCGTTTCACCTCTTCTACCTCTGTCTCTCTCTTTCTTCTTCAACCACCCCGTCAACCACCCTCTCGCGCCGCCTTCCCTCTCCGTCACGAAGCGCACTCCGCGGTAAAAGGTTTTACGAAATTCATTGTCAGGCAATTTGCATGTCAAAGCCGCTGAGAAACGCGGCGCTCCAGGACCCGGCAACGGCGGCAGCGGCAGCAGCAGCTTCACGCTTTACCGTCCCGAGAAGAGAAGAGAGAGCGTGGTGTCTGTCTCTTCTCGGGCTTCGTTCGCGCCGCCGCCGCGTCACCACTTTC